AGACACATGACATTTTTTATCTATGTTTAAACATTTAACAATGTTCTGCTAAATAATAGCACATGCTACAGAGGAAGTTTTCTTTTGAGCTCCACACACGTTCCCCCAGGACAAGATATTTCAGTAAACAGGGAAGTGCATGTCACAGTCAGTCTCCCTGCTGTTCTGCAGACAGGCACAATATGACTAAGATGGGGACTCCTGCTTCTGAAAAAGCTCCCCTACTTTCAGAACATTCCAGCAGTGGTTAAAGAAACCTCAGTAAAACTCCGCTGTATAAACTGTGAAGCTTAAAAAACACTGCATTTCCTTCTGCTAAATCATGTAATTCCTCAATGCTGTTTTTCTTTTTCCATATTCAGTGCTCTGTACCACTGATGGATTGCGATTAACAGCAAAAATGTCAAACTCCAAAGCTGAGTATGAACTGCCCTTCCACACTAAACATTTCCTACAACAACCTGACGGCACTGACATGTGCTGAATTCTTTCCCTAAATTAAGCACAGAAGTTTCCTCTCATACCTCTCAGGTGTGTAGTAGGCAGTCTGTCTACATTCATCTTCACACTCATTTCTCTTCTGCACAAAGGAGCCAGAAACATCCTCATCTTTGCAGAACCATTCCTGGGAAGTACCTGAAGGTTCTGTACTACTAAACACAGGAGGAAAAAGAAAAGCTTTCAAAAACTACTCATATGGTTTTCTGCTCCAAACAGAAAACAGTTAAGCTGCAACAATAATTAACAGTTCATCTCATATGACACCGAAATGGTATAAAAACTGCAACTTCTACCTGTCGCTGTTGGACACAAATAAGAAGTGTGGATTTAATGCAACAGGAATAACGAGGATCATCTGAAGGTTTTATTTCAGAACATTTCAGCTCCTTGATAGGGTTTTATGATACAGGTTTAACATGATTGGTAAAGGTAACAACACCTCTCTTGTCTCATTGGTGGAAGAAGTGAAAATACAATCATCACAGCTGTACAATATTGTTTTGAGAACTATAAATTATTTACAAAATTATCCTTGAGTGAGAAAGTTTCTCAAGAGACTTTCCCTTGGAACATCCACTGACAGGCTGGAAACTCTCTCAGAAAAACAGGTCCACATCTACCACTGGTCAATTACAACTCAGGTAAAACTATTTAAACAGCGAAGTGAATTCCATTCACTCTTTTCCCAGTTTACTAGTCCAAATCTTGTAAAGCGTGAGGTGGCATTAAGCAGCAGAGCCAGCCCTGTTACAGAAATTCAAAGCTGTGAAAACAGAAATATTTCCTTCTTAACACAGTTGCCACCATCCTACAGAGAGCACAGAAATCTCTCTCTCATCTTCCTAAACACAAATCCTCTAACATATTGTCACTCTAGGAGACATGTGGTTCCACTGACATCAGGAAAAGGAAAGTTATCAAAGTCAAGGACCAGTAATCGCAAATTTCTGCTTTTGTCTCTCAGTTTTGGGAACAGTAATGTTACCTTGTGCCCAGCAGTGCGAATACAAAGCGGGAGGGAATGTACTGCTGCAGGCAGAACAAATGCCTTTCTCCCCATAACAGCTGACTGCACATTAACTTGGACTAAATAACTGGAATGCCTTGGAGACTGAGAATTCCAGTGGAAAACAATGAATTCAAGAAGACTCCCATTTTTGAGTCTGATCTTTTTTCTCCCAGTCAGAAATGCTCTAAATGAACTACAGAGCCCTCCTTAAATCTCTTAAGCTCTGACTTAATTCACCCATGTAACATACACGGGCTGCAGATCCCAGGTTTCTTCAGCAGGAGGATCCCAGGCATGCAGGGCTATCTTCCACAGCTTGATCTGCCGGTCCCAGGACCTACGGCTGTACTTCTTAAACTTGTTGGGAGTTCTAGGGTGAACTCCCGGAATTCGCTGGTTCCTGGCAATACACAGTAACATTTAATGTTTCAGAACATAAGGAGCTTTTTCCTTAAAAAGAATCCTTAGCCCATCAGGGTCACACAAGCATCGGTGATCTAATGAATAAAATGTTTATATTTTGAAACACTTCACAGAAATGTGTATAAGACATTATCAAAAATAGATCACAAGAGCAACAACTAATGTGCTGAGTCAGACTGGAGGCTCATCCAGTCCAGCACTCTGACAGCTGCCAAAAGTCGATCCTTATTGCCCATGAACAAAGACAAAACAGAAGCATAACTCATACTGCTTCAACATTATCCTAACCTCCAGTTCCTTGCACTTTACTTTTGCAATTGACAAATTGCAGCTTCTTTTGTTTAGTACTGTACTGAGCCTGTTGAAGATGGAGTTACCTGCCCCCACAGCACTCCCTGTAGTGCTGTGTTTTGCACTGATTGCTGAAACAGTGCTGATAACCACACTGATTTTTGGGCATTACTGAACAGTGCTTGCACAGCTTCAAGGCATTCGCCTTTCTCCACCCCACAGACACTAAGGTGAGAGTGGACACTAAGTTGAGAGGGAAAAGTGGTGGGACAGCTGACTCAAATTACCCAGAGATATCACACATCACATAATATCACACTCAGCAATAAAAACCTCAGGAAGAATTTGAAGAGAACTAAGGCTGTGTGCTATTCTATGCTCATACACATCCACACACACACGAACACACACCCACACACACCAGGAAGAAATAAGAGTATGTTTGGAAATCTGCAATACAGTGCCACTTACTTTGGGACTTCTTTAATGTATCTGTCATATGCAAGGGTATTCTTTCCAAAATTGATCTGTTTTTGTCTCCTCCTCAGGACCACTTCATCAGTTTCTCTTTCAA